ATATAAATATAAATACTTAAAAATAAATAAATAAATGTATAGGGTTTATGTACGGGAATAAGATGAGGCGGGTCCATTCCAGGGGTCCCTCCTGAGACCCCCTTTTGTTCTGTCGAACTGCAGGACCCGATGGTGAACCGACACGTCATGTTCTACGAGGCTGGTGGGACTTGAGTGCCATGGTTTAGGGTTTAGGTTTAGGGTTTAGGGTTTAGGGTTTAGGGTTTAGGGTTTAGGGTTTAGGGTTTAGGGTTTAGTGCGAAGACCTACTGGCTCTTCGTACGGAATGAGGGAAATAGATATCCCCCTGTAAATATCCTTGAAGGTGGTATATACCTCATTCCCTACTACTATTTTTACCCGATTTGAGGGACTATAATTGGGGTACCTGATTCCCTCGTTCCCTACAAAGGACCAGTAAGAAACATAGCGCCGCGCGCACGCCGCGGCTTCGATAGCCGAAGGTGCATGTTGAAGCCCGCGAATCTCGAAGCCCGAAACCCTAAAAACCCTAAAGTCTTCAATCCCGAGCCCTAAACCCTAATCCCTAAACCCTAAAACCCTTCAGGGCTCTCAAGCCCAAAGCTCGAAAAACCCGCAGCCCTAAACCCTAAACCCTAAACCCTAAACCCTAAACTTAAAACTTACTAAACCCTAAGCCCTCAAACCCTCAAACCTCTGCAGCCAGGCTGCCCTTTCAAAGCCTCGGCGGGGCAAGATGCGCCGGCCATTGGCTGGGGCCTCGGTTTCGGTTTTTGTTTGTCGATTTTTCTTTGGGTTTGGGGTTTAGGGTTTAGGGTTTAGGGCTTAAGGCTTAGGGCTTAGGGTTTAGGGCTGGGGCCTCGGTTTCGATTTGTCGGCTTCGGGTTTCGTTGAGATTGAGATGAGAATGTTTCGGGGTTAGTGCTGTGGTCTGTTACGAGTTCGGGTCGAGGGGTTCAGGGGGCTTCCAGTACGGGTTCGCAAACAAACGGGAGCTAAGCCCTGTGAACCTTAGTAATTCTCCGCTAGTACCACAAACCAGCAGACGTGCAACTAAGCAACGACTGCTCCCCTCACCCCCTCCCTAGAACACTCGGCGTGAAGGATGTTTGTGTGTCAAGGTTGGGATTTAGGCTGTGGCTGGGTTTTGGAGTACTATACTTAAATGCTTGTTTTTGGTTCTGGGTCCCTGTTATTATAGCCCTAAACCCTAAACCCTAAACCCTAAACCCTAAACCCTAAACCCTAAACCCTAAAAAGTATATCCTTTTTTTCGAGGGTCTACTCCAAACGTGGAGTGGGGGCCGAATCAGGACTCCACAGCTCCATCTGCCGATCCCTAAAGCACCCCCTGAAACCCTAAACCCTAAACCCCAAACCCTAAACCCTAAACCCTAAACCCTAAACCCTGAACCCTGAACCCTAAACCCTAAACCCTAAACCCTAACCTCCGGTACTTCGAACCCCCAACCCCTTTTTCTCTTAGTTGTCCAGAACCTAGGGGGAACTAAAGGTTAACCTTTGGGATCATAAACTCTACAACGAAGTTCTTGTTTAGGGGATGAAGTTTCCAAAGCTTGAACCCCAAGCCGAGCCTAGAAACACCTTGAGAATCCCAGCCAGTTTCGTAGACCTAGAATGAAACTTATAGCTTGAGGGATTTAGGTTTGAGGGTTTCGACAATAGGGTGAAACACAAACAAGAGGAGAACATTTTGGCCTCCTAGCGCAAGCTCCAAGCCCCAAAAGCGTTCACCGTGAAGACCTGCCTAGTAGGGAATGAGGGAATGAGGCACTCTATATCCCTCTATATACTCCCTTTAAGGGATTTTATACGGTACCCTAAAACGTATATAATCCCGAAACCCTTATGGAAAAAGCCTAAACCCCAAATTCCCTCGTTCCTGACGAAGACAAAGCACCAAGAAGAGGCCTGGGCACGCTGGACAGGGCGGGGCATCGAAGATTTGGTGCCCCGGCGAGGGGTTCGGGTTTGGGATGCAGGGTTTAGGGTGTAGCGATAGGGTCTTATGTGTTCAAAGGAGGAATCGGATTTTCGGCCAGCAAGTTCTTTGACAACATTCTCAGCGCCCTTGCCCGGGTGTGCGGGTTCTGGTTCCGGGTTCAGTTGGCTGACGTGCCTGCGAGCGAGCAAGAGAGCATATAGCGAGAGAGAGAGAGAGAGAGAGAGAGAGAAGGGGAGAGACAGGAGGGACAGGAAGGACAGGAGAGACAGGAGAGAGAGGGTTCGTTGGTGCCTCTCCGCTTGTAGACGTAGCAGAAGATTAAGAAAAGGGTGCAGGTGTGGAAGCACACCCGGCTGGTTTCGGTTCGGTTCTTGGTTAAGAAAGGATTAGGGTTCGGATCGTGACTGTGAAAGCCGAACATGGTCGTGAGAAGGGAAGTGCTATCTTTGGCAGCTCAGGTGAAGAGGGTGGCAAGAAAACACGACCGCTACGGCTTCTTCTGAGTGGCTTTGTCCTAAAACCCTAAACTCAAGTCCTTAACCCGTCAGACGGTGCAGGCTGCAGCCCAACCGGAGCCAAAAGGCCCGAGCAGCCAACTCATTCTAGTGATTCACAGGGCCTTTGCTCGTTCGCATTTGTTCTTCGCGTCCCCTAAACCCCTAAACCCTAAACCCCAAGCGTTAGGGAACCGAGCTCGCCTATGGGTTAGGGTTTTGGTTCAAGGAATCTAGGAACTAGGCAGGGGCATGTCGACACTCTAAGTTTGAGTCTTGGGAATCAGGCAATGGGCAGCTGCAGGTTTGTTGAAGGGAGTAATTATGTGGTGAGGGTTTTGGGTTTGGGGTGTAGGGCACTTCCTCCCTTAGATTCCTGAAGCCCTGAGCACCCTACATCTTCCTGCAAAGATAGAGCCCGCACCCGAAACCCTAATCTTGGACTCTGTTAAGCAGGGGCTTCCCCTATAAAGTCATTTTGGCTGAGTTGTTCTTTTCCAAGACCCCCAAAACCCGGAATCCCAACAAAGCCGAAACCAAGAATTCCCTTTTAAAAAACCACATAAAATTGTATTGATCAATCCTGGGGCTCTGGATTTCGATGCCCTGGTCTCTTGGCTTAAAGGCAGGGCTTTGGAATTTTCAAGGCAGGCCTCTTTTCCAAGACCCCGAAACCCGGAATCCCAACAAAGCCGAAACCAAGAATTCCCTCTTAAAAAGCCATACAAAAAATTGTCTTGATCCATCCGGCAAAGGGGTGGTCCAGGAGCCAGCCCAAGCTCGAACAAGAGGCACTGTTTCGGGGCCCGCTTTAATGTCCTGGCCGCGGGCCGTGGATTGCAAAAAATCACATGGACCCCTTTGAAATTCAGATGGATCCCTTTAAATTCACATAAACTCATCCCTTTTAATTCATATGGATCCCTTTTGAATTCATATAAACTCATCCCTTTTAAAGTCATATGGATCCCTTTTGAATTCATATAATCTCATGCCTCTTGAATTCATGTGGATCCCTGTTAAATTCAGATAAGCTCATCCCTTTAGAATTCATATGGATCCTTTTAAATGTATATACACTATTATAAACTCCTCCCCATTAAAATCATGTAAACCCCCGGGGCCGTCTAACCAGGGCAAAATCCACGTCTCGACTGCTCGGGGGGGGGGGGGGGGCCTACACTACGTAAATAGAGTTCAACATTACTAAGAAAGGTCGAGAGTCCCATGCTGCATTTTGTTAAGTTCGCTTTGCGCTTTGGGGAGAGGAGTTAGATTTCTGAAGCCAGATTTGCGCTTGGGCGCTGGCTGAACTGAGAACCCCGAACAAAATCGAAGCATTCTTCCTTATTAAGGGTAATATAGGGATTCTTATTTTATATTCTTTTTGGGGTTCTTATAAGCAAATCGCAGATACTGGTTTGGAGGGGGCAAGGTGCTGACTGAGTTGCTCCGCCCAGGGAAGGCGACTAGGACGGAGGTGTGAAAACGGGCGGCGGCTGCCGGCATGATCGCCCAAACCTGGAGAGCCCGAATACCTCTCAATTCCTCAAGTAAAGAAGATCTAGCGTTTAGGGTTTAGGGTTTAGGGTTTAGGCATAGGGGTCCGAATCTGACTTGAGGTTTCTCTTCCGCAAGGGCCTCCGAGGGCCTCTCTGCGATAAGTGAGTTCCCCCCCCCCCCCCCCCAATTCTTCAAGCCTCGCGCCCAGACGTTGAGCTTAGAGTTTCGATACAGCCACCCCAGAAAAAGACGAGACTCACCACACCCTAAACGCAAGAAAACCCTAAACCCTACACCCGAAACCGTATACCCTAAACCGTAAACCGCAAACCCTAAACCCCAAACCCTAAACCCTAAACCTCTGCAAATCCTGGAGTGCTGCTGCGGGTGCTTCAGCCTCAAGTTGGAGATGCCCGAAGGGCTCGGCTTCACTGTCCACAAACCCCCGAGCTCCTGAACCCAGCTTAGGGACCCGAAACCCTAAACCCTGAACCCTGAACCCTAGGGTTTGGGTGGCGAACCCTAAACCCTAAACCCTAAACCCGAAACCCTAAACCCTAAACCCCAACAACCTCACACCCACGTCCCGAAGCTCATTGAGACTTCTACTAACTGCTAAGCTCAGCTAGGCAAAACACGCGCTCCCTGTAAGTTGCAGGTCCTAGTCCTTCGCCTGTCCCGTGCGAGGGTGAGAGTCGATTTCTACACATGCTAGGCAAACCCTACACCCTAAACCCTACACCCTACACCCTACACCCTAAACCCTAAACCCTACACCCTAAACCCTAAACCCTAAACCCTAAACCCTAAACCCTAAACCCTACACCCTAAACCCTAAACCCTAAGACTTAGAGTCGGCCCTTATTCCCCTTTTACAGAGTCCCCTAGAAGCCCCTGTAAAAGCCAAAAAGGGCTTAGGGTTTAGGGTTTAGGCAGTAGGTTTTAGGGTTTAGGGCCTAGGGTTTAGGGTTTAGGGTCTAGGAAACTTATGCCTAGGTTACTGCCGGGCGCAGCAACCCTGAACCCCTGAACCCCTAAACCCCTCAACAAACGCCATGGCGGCTGCTCTGTGGCGAGGGGAGACAGGTCAATTTCTTCTTGTTTTTACGGGTTAGGTTCGAGGTCAAAGAACCGGCCAGATCGTCCACAGCCCAGTAGCCAAAAGGCTTTGCTAGGGTTTCGGATCTAGGGTTTATTCAGAAGGGCTTAGGGCTTAGGGAAGAAGATCTTTGTTGCAGACCAGGTTGCAGACCAGGAAGCCTTCAGGGACCGTCACCATAGGTGTTGCACAAAGGCAGTCGAGGATGACCCTAAACCGTAAACCTAAACCCTAATGCTTTGGATTATGGTTTAGGGGTCTATGTGCATATGGGGGGGGGGTCTCTCAGTCAGGAACCCATTTTTTGGTACCCCATTATGTAAAAATACATCAGGCTCCGTATGATAACAGGAACCCAAAAGGGCCCTAGTTTGGGTTTAGGGCTTAGGGCATAGGGCTTAGGGCATAGGGTTTAGGGCATAGTGCTTAGGGCTCGGGCTTTATAAGAGCTTAGGGTTTGGGCGCAGTGCTTAGGGCTTAGGCCTTGTAAGAGCTTAGGGTTTAGGGCTTCAAAAATGCTGGCGCGGCCTCAGTCCATGTATCAAAAGGGATTCTGTATGCGGATTTGGGTGGAGGATTTGGGGCTTGGGGTTTAGGGTCTTGTCCCTAAACCCTAAACAATATGGGTTTATAAACCCGAAACCCGGCACCCTAAACCCTAAACCCTGAACCCTAAACCCTAAACCCCAAACCCCAAAACCCAAACCCCAAACCCCAAGCACAGCAGACAGAGGCTGCTTAGGCAGTGGCCTTGCCAGGCCCCGCCTGGCAGCTGCTCCGGCAAGTTGCCGCCCGGCCGAACAAGGACTGCGCGGTGTTTAGGGTTTCGGGTTTAGGGTTTAGGGTTCGGGTTTAGGGTTTCGGGTTTAGGGTTTAGGATTGAGGGGGTTAGGGTGTAGGGTCCTTAAGCCTTCATCCTTGCAAGACCTAAGCTGGTCCAAACTCGAAAGGTCACTAGGGTACCTCACATCTTCGACACCTACAAGTTACAAGTGCTAGGCTCAAAGCCCTTCGAAACCCAAAGCCCTCTCTGAATGCCCAAAATCTGGTTGCTGCGAAACCTGCCGGGCGCCATGCTGCCGATTCGGGTTTATAAACCCTATCTGGTTCGCGCAAATGATTTTACTGCAGGTTTACTTGGGCCTTCTGGTGAAAGGGTACTTGGTGGGGGGGAGTAGTGTATCAGTGTGTATATAACTATACATATACATATATATATATTTTATATTTAGATATTTATATATTTATACTAACATAAGAAATGCATAAGTGTGTCAAGTGCGTCTCTTTCTGTATTCATATATATATATATATAGATCATCTCAGAAAAAATGAGCCTTCAACCAAAGATCTCCGCAAATCTTTGTCCTCGTCCTCCTGCCCTGCAAGGACTGGCTGCCAAAGCTCGCAGCCTTACCGGAGGCCGGGCAGCAGCCTCGTTGAGGGTTAGCTTCAAAACCCAAGTAGGGTTTAGGGTTTAGGGTTTAGGGTTTAGGGTTTAGGGTTTAGGGTTTGGGGTTTGGGGTTTAGGGTTTAGGGGAAACACCCTCCCACGACTTTTTCCGTGCCCCGGTGCCTACGTAGAGAATTGCGCGCCTGAAATAGGGCTGCCTGTGTCCTTACAGAAACATTATCGCATCCTATCGATATGTCCCCACGGAGCGACGACAGTGAACGGGTGGAAACCCTAAACCCTGACCCCCCGAAACGCAAGCCCCGAAACCGTCCAAATATGAGGCTCAGGTCTCCGATCGAAAGGTATAGATGGAAGCGACAGAAAACCAGCGTCTCCGTCTCAAAACGTAAGCACGAACGTGAGCAGCAACAATACCCCAAAAAGGGGGCAAGATAAGACCCGTACCTTGGGCTTTTCCCGCTTATACAAAAACAGGCCTTCATAAGGATTCTACAAGAATCCCAACCCGTCTCGGCAACCTCAAGCCTTATCAACACTGAGACTAATAGTGCGAGCGGTCGCAATAATTGCTAGTCGATTCTCGTACGGCTCTATATAGTAAAACCCCGCAAAACCCTACTCTAAGGATTAAGGCCCCTTTATTGGCGGTGAGCCGCCCGTGCCAATCTTTCACGCCACGGCTTCGGGGAAATTGGGGCTTTAGGACTTTTAGCTTTGCAAGCTTGATGCTCAGGGTTGAGGCAGAAGGGCTCAGGGTTTAGAGGGTTTAGGGTTTGGGGTTTGGGGTTCTGCAAAATCATATACAGTCCTGAGTCCTAACGAAGCGCTATTTGCACGTGGCAGTGAAACTTCTAGTTTGGGAGTCGGAATAATTGCGAATCGTATTCCCGTGTGGGCCCTTCAGAATTTTGCTAGAATAACCCTCCCCAAAAGCCTATCCTAATTATTTAGGGCCCCTATAGTAGCCCTAAACCCCAAACCCCAAACCCCAAACCCCAAACCCCAAACCCCAAACCCCAAACCCCAAACCCCAAACCCCAAACCCCAAACCCCAAACCCTAAACCCTAAACCCTAAACCCTAAACCCTAAACCCTCACCTCGGCATCTGCGCTGCAAGTCGGCGCAGGCAGCCGAGACCACCGGGGAGCTGGCGGCAGCGGATGCGCCCCATGGCATGAACCTCCAGGACGCCCAGAAGTTGTGTTAGGATCCCTAAGCCCTAAAAACCGTGTTTAGGGTTGAGGGTTTAGAGTTTAGGGTTTTAGGGTTGGGCCCCAAAATTAAGGCCATTTCGGGACAATTAAGCCTAGCTAAGGTTATTTAAGGGGGGAACCTAGGGGGGTAGTATATAGAGAGGGGGGTAGTAGCGGAACCCATGATCTAAACCCTAAACCCTAAACCCTAAACCCTAAACCCATGATCTTCGACGTTTGAAATGCAGGGCTGGGGCCGGCTTGGCTGGCATACGTCCATCCATTTTCCCAGAGCCGAGGGCCAGGGCTTTCAGGGGCCTCGCAGGGGCACCTTTCAGGGGTATGTATATATATATATATACATATATGTAAATAGATACATAAGTATAAATAAATAAATAAATATATATATATATATATACATATTTATTTATTTATTTATATATTTATATAATATAGGGCCTTAATTCCCTCATTCCCTACTAATAACCCTCCAGGTTAAGCATGACAAGGAGGGACCCCCTGGAAGCGGCACGCAGTCTTATTCTATAACCCCTGTACGTGCCTTCTATTAGTTCCCAGATACCTAAAGTAGCCCTAAGCCCGAAACCCCATACATCCCCTATAGAACCCCGATATATACCCTATATGTACCGTCTGCACACTCCTATAAACCTAAGTAGCCCCAACGTAGTCCCTAACTTGGCTTTCTTCTGGCTGGCTCTAAGGACCTTAACTTTTTCGGTTTTTGTATAAACTACAATAAGGAGCCTAAAGGATAAACTTTTAGGGGGGTTCAGAAGTCAGCCAAGAGGATTGCTCCTTCCGTTCCTTGATCCTGAGGCTTCGGAAGCACCTGCAGCCTAGCGCAGGCCACCAGAGGGAGAGAGAGAGGTTTAGGGTTTAGGGTTTAGGGTTTAGGGTTTAGGGTTTTGGGTTTAGGGTTTAGGGTTTAGGGTTTAGAGTCAGAAGCATTTTCACTCACTGTTGGTGTTTAATGTTCGTTGTTTTTGTATTGGATACAGCTTTGTGTGATAAACAGTAGATTTCACAATAAGAGTGATTTTATTGTTGGTGGTTTAAATAAACCCTAAGCCTGACTCCCCCAAAACTTGGTTTTTGTTCTTGACCTTGTTGGCTTGCGGGTCCGTGGAAGAAGGATTCCGAACTCCCCTGCTGGAAACCAGGTCGATTCCCAATGCCTCGTCAAGCCTTTGGGGGGGGGGGGGGGGAACTGCTGCCCTAAACTTGGAATGTTCCCCCTTATACTAACAGTCCTTAGTAGGGTCATAGTACCCCCGACTAGAATCCCTATTAAAGACTGTTAGTACAAGGAAACCCTTTTCACTTCGGACTTCGGGTTTCGGTTTTGGAGCTTCGGGGCATCTAGGAGGCTTTAGATCTAAACCATAGACCGTGTGAGAGTCGAAGCCCTAAACCACTCCTTGCAGTGGGGGAGCATTTTTTGCTGTATTTGTTTAGGGAGAAGAGTTTGGGGTGTAGGGTGCTTAGAATCTAGTTTTTCGGTGGGCTCAGTCTTTGGATGACCTTCTGGTTTAGAGCCTGTTGAGAATTTGAACCCCCCCCCCCCCCCCCCCAACAGAAACACAGAAACAAAAACCGACACCACAAAACCGCAAAACGTGGCCCCCGAACTGAACCCTAACCCTAAACCCCTCACCCATAAACCCTTAACCCTAAACCCCAAACCGCTAACCCCTAAACCCAAACCCTACTGCCAGGAATACCAGACCCCCTTCGCACGCGGCTGCGGGATGCTGGCGTGGCGGGCCTGGCCTCGGCCACGCAGGCTTTCTGGAGTGTTTGGGTTTAGGGTTTAGGGTTTCGGACTTATAGGGTTTAGGGTTTAGGGCCGCGCAAATGTGCGTCTTGGTGGTCCCAGCTGATCTGCGTCTTGGTTCAACAAAGGGTGTAGGGCTTAGGGTTTTGGGTTTAGGGAGGCCGAAACATGAGAGCAATGCTTGAGGCACCGGAGAACATCCCAGACCGAAGGCATTGGTGTCTACCCTTCCGTGGTTTCAGCTCGCGGCCCACGCTTGGAGCGCTAATCTTTAGGGTTCAGGGTCTAGGGTTTAGGGGAACCCTATAGTAACTAATTATAACTGTACTTACAACCCACTTATAAGCCCCTTAAGTGCCCTAATGTGGTTATAATAAGTACAGTTAAGTACCATGAACCTCCAAGTACCTGAAAACATCCAGGGATCCCGGGTGCTTATAATCCTTGCCCACGGAAGACCCAAAGCACCTCTATAGACCCTAAGAGCTTATTCCCCAAACGAACCTGTAAACCCTAGAGCCTAAAGCCTAAACACCCCTAAAAT